TATAGAATAGCCCATAAATAAGTTTTAATAGTAGTTTTAATAGTTTGCTAAATATTCATAGTAGTTTTAATAATTTGCTAAATAATTTATAATTATATAGTTTTATATTTCTGTGTGCACCATTCAGATATATTTGATTAAAAAAATGTTCCAGAGAGCTTTGACTAGAGACAATCACCCAGGATTTGTGTCCTTCTAAACGTTTAGCATCTATCAATATTTAAAAATCAATCAGTGTTTTGTTCTGTGTGGTGAAAATTAGAACACTATGAAATATAATACAGTATGCAAGGTCACAACCTTAAAATGTTTTATCCCCGTCTTAGCTGTAAAAATTGGGAAATATGATTTTATGGCACTATTTTTTTTACCTGTGTATATGTTTCAACATGACGGCAAGAGAGTAAACAGCATGAATTCCTTTGACAGATGAAAGCTTTAATAGGCTACATATTCCAAGCCGCATTGTGACATCAGTGTCCGCTATGCGCTCGTGCAGGCTTACATCATGCGGATACTGACAGGACTAAAATGACGTAATACAGCCCGATGCATTATGACATCATTTGCCGGCAGTTCTCTGCAAATATGACCCAATCACCCCATTGATTTGGACATGAAGACTCGGACTTACAGTCACCTTACCTTGGCCACAGAGATCAGGTAATAGCAGGCATAAGCGGCGCTGAATCCGAGCACTACTGACAGTCCAACCCCAGAGCCAAATAGCCCGACTTTTACTTGGGTTTTGAAGTAATGTGAAAGGTCACTCGTAAATAAATTGAAATTAAGCTCCGGTGAGATCATTTCCTTATAAAGCCCACGGTTCCGGCTACTGAGACACTCGGGCTGCTGCCTGCTTCTGGATGAAAGGATGCGCGTCCAAATGCAAAGGTGAACGGAGACAGGAGTTTAAAGCGGGGGAGATGGGTGGCGCTCTGCGAGGAAAGTCAGTGGAGAGCTACCCGGAGAAACGCAAGCCGCTAGAGCGGAAAACAGAAGGAAGCCGAAGTGGGCGGAGCTTAAGACTCGGCCGTTCTTATTCTTTGTATGATTGGATTGCGTCAATGTGCATTTAAAGTGCCGGAAAACGACACTTGCACATGAAACGTTGGTTTGTTGGTATGTTTGTTTTCGCCAAGTATTGTTAAAAAGCATAGGCTATAAAAACAGGAACGACAGAAGGGGGAATAAAAATACACAAGAAAACAAAACTCTAAGTAAAATACATAAATTATTCAAATAAATATTCTGGAAATCTTACAGATATTTTTTTTCTTCAATTTTGTCAGGGTGTAATGCTGCAATGCTGCCTTTTCCCATAAAGGTGGGTTGATTTTAGGTTACATTAGCATTGCCAAAAGCATTGCCAATATAAATTTAAATCAGTTTAGAGTAACTATAACTAAAACAGATGTTTAAAAACAGAAATTTATATATATATTTAATTTCTGCAACGCTTACTGCAAAGCAGTGTCACGTGATGCGTGTTACTTTACTCAATGTATAGAAGCAAGTAGCCAATCAGAATCGTTTGTGGTTGCACGAATGGACTTTTTATATGCGCATTTTACTGAGACTGCTTGAGCGGATTTCCCTTTGCGTGTCAGGAAGGAGGAATTCAAATGTTCCGAGTTTCAAATGCGGCTCAGTGATGAATGTACAAATCCTGCTCTGCTGCGGTCTTGGTCATGAATATTAATGAGGGTGCGTGAGTGGACACTCAAAGAAGGTTACTAAGCAACGTCAGTCCAACCTAATTAATATTCAGTGTCGTAGCTTTTGTGTCGTTCAGTTTTTGACCTTAAACCAGGACTATTATTCATTCGTTATCCACTCATTTGAGCTCGTTGGTCATCTTTATGTGGAGTACCAGTGAATTACTTTGTCATTTGCCTGAACGCATTTAAGTTTCTGTTTTGTCTTTATAAGCAGACTTGACATCTGGTTTACTCAGAGAACTGGAAAGCAGTGATATAAAATGCGATTGTCACTTTATTAATAACAGTATAAAATAACTACGGCAGATTAATGAGAGTTTGTCTGGTACAGATGTGTGATTTTTAATGGAAATAGACAGAAAAGCTGCAGGATAGCGCCCTCTAGTGAAGACAGGATCCAATCGACGCGGTCGCTTTTGTTAAAGCAGTACAATCAGCAAGTTCTTTCTCGTCTGTTGTATTTTGTTGGTTGTTTGACTTTTTTTTCTGCTGAACTGAGATGTCTCGTTTCTTGTAAAAATAACACACTGTCTTTTAAAAATCATAGAAATAAATAGGAAGAGAGGAGGGATCATAGCGATGTGATGACGCGTTTCATGTGCGACATTAAAGGTTTTTCATTATTATTATTATTATTATTATTATTATTATTATTATTATTATTTAGTTTATTATTATTTAGTTCCATTACATTCAAGTCAAAAAAGTACAAGGCAAATATAAGGCAATGTTGTGCAGTTTAAAGCATGTAAAACAGAATACTAACAACAACAAAAAAAACATAAAATGAACATAAAAATATAGCCTAAAAAAATAAAATAAAAAATACTAGGATAAAAAAGTGCTATATAATATTAGGGCAGTTAGCCTAGCTACATACATTTGAAAAGCTTTAGAATTGTGATCTTATATTAGAGAGGGTTTCAACATATATTTTAAGGTCACTGTTACAAAAGGTAATATATAATGTTATTTTTTAATTATTTTTAACATATGAATATAAAACTTTGCTAAAATAATTAACAGATTAATAATGGAATTTTGTTTTTTCAGAAAAATACGGGGTTTGAAAACAAAGTAAAATATCATGAGGTTCTAAATTAAGGGCTTTGTTTACATTTTTTTTGTTATATCTATTTTAAAGTCAACCCAAAATAAAACAGAAAAAGGACAATAGAAAAATAAATGTTCAATCTCTTCACCTGATATGTTACAAAAGGTGCATTTATCACAAACACTAAAATGACAAAGGTTAAACCTTTTTACAGAAATAACACAAAGGCAGTTATTAGTTATCACAAGTCCCTAAAATGATCGGATTCAATTCAGATTCAATATTTTATTATGTTTTACGTTTTTATTTCACGTTCATAAATGGAAATTATCGAATAGAAAGAAAATATTTCATTAAAGCCTGTTATCATGTCAGCACAATTCGTCATTTGTAACAATTCCCTATATACAACCCCACAGATAACCTTTTTAATACCCATAATGTTATAATTAGTGTTAGAAAATTATTATTATTATTATTATTATTATTATTATTTCAAAAACAATAATGAAATGCTCTGGGCTTTAATTTATAGATATAAATGCATTTGCTATTAAAAAGTTCTAGTTAGAGTTCTTATGAGAGTTCTGGTTTGAGATCGTATTGAATTATTGCGTATTTTGAGTGATTATTGAAATTTCATATCTCTAAAGTTGTTCATAACTCAAAATGTAAATTTTTTTAATAAGGCAATGCTGTACAGTTTAAAGCATGTAAGACAGAATAACAACAACAACAACAACAACAAAACATAAAATGAACATAAACATATAGGCTATATCCAAAAATAATCAAAATAAAATAAAATAAAATACCAGGACAAAAAAAAGTGCTATATAATATTAGGGCAGTTAGCCTAGCTACATACATTTGAAAAGCTTTAGAATTGTGATCTTATATTAGAGAGGGTTTCAACATATATTTTAAGGTCACTGTTACAAAAGGTAATATATAATGTTATTTTTTTAATTATTTTTAACATATGAATATAAAACTTTGCTAAAATAATTAACAGATTAATAATGGAATTTTGTTTTTTCAGAAAAATACGGGGTTTGAAAACAAAGTAAAATATCATGAGGTTCTAAATTAAGGGCTTTGTTTAAATTTTTTTTGTTATATCTATTTTAAAGTCAACCCAAAATAAAACAGAAAAAGGACAATAGAAAATTAAAATGTTCAAACTCTTCACATGATATGTTACAAAAGGTGCATTTATCACAAATACTATGAATATATCTGCTATATCTGCTCTGTGAATAATTTTGTAGACATTAAAAGTTGCATGATTGAAGCATGACTGTTGCTTTTAATACATTTATTAAAATGTTAAATAAAAATAAAAAGTATAATGAAACATAAAAATAAAAAAACGAATATAATATAATATATATACACACACACACACACACACACACACACACATATATATATATATATATATATTATATATATAATATTTTATTATGTTTTACGTTTTTATTTCACGTTCATAAATGGAAATTATCGAATAGAAAGAAAATATTTCATTAAAGCCTGTTATCATGTCAGCACAATTCGTCATTTGTAACAATTCCCTATATACAACCCCATAGATAACCTTTTTAATACCCATAATGTTATAATTAGTGTTAGAAAATTATTATTATTATTATTATTATTATTTCAAAAACAATAATGAAATGCTCTGGGCTTTAATTAATTAAATATTATTTTTTTTAAATTCAGATTCTGTAATATTATAAAATATGAATGTTAAAATATTTAAACTGTACAAATAAATAATACATTTTTAATGCATTATTCTTTTAAAGATTCATAGCTAATAAAACAAAAAAAAAACTAAACAAAATAAATTAAAATAATATATATATATATATATACTATACGGTATATATATATATATATATATATATAGTTCGCAAATAAAACATTTACCAGAACAAGTAATTTTGTTTTTATTTAATCAAACAGAAAACAAATTGTCTTGGGCTGCGTCTCAAAGCCTAGTGAGCGCCCTACATGGACAGCAGTTTAGAGCATTAGGAGGCGCGTTCCGAGTCAGAAGAACTTGCGTATGATCTCGCAAAATTCTTCTTAAAGTCGGAAAACTCCAAGCCTCTCTAAGAAGTTGCAGATCCCGTCCAAATGCTCGCCAGAGATGTCTAGCTAGGAGTGTGAGTAGGTTTTGAGACGCGGCCATCGTGTGGAGCTCTGTCATGAATCTTCGCTGTTCTCTTCTTCCTTGAGTCTGGATGATTTTTAGGGAGGAGCTGTGACTCTCGGGAAGATCTAGAGACTTTGGCTGAGCACAGCAGCAGGTAGAGAGCTTTTGGACTTATTAAAAGCTTTCCAGCTGCATTTTGATATACTCATTCATGCAGCGAGAGATGTGTGTTAGCATCAGGCTAGCTGATCTCCCGTCCACCCCTCGCTACTTCATCGTCTGTCTGTGTGACAGGCTGTGGTCTTGATGTTGTCGATCAGTGATGTAGTGTGGGTGTGATGGAGCAGTTCAGTGGGAACTTTATTGGCTGGATGAGTGTATTTGGAGCAGGTTTTGCTGGCTTCGACGAGCTGAGCCATAGACAGACATATACAGTATATCGGTTTATTAAAATGTTAAAAGCTACAATGAAGTGTACTTAGAGTTGTATTACAGCAAGTTGCACTGTCATTATTATTGTATCACTTAGCATTTATTATTATCATCAATTAAGCAGTTGGTACAAAACAAGTACAAATGTGATTGTATGTAAAACCATGGTGTGTGTGTGTATATAACTATTAACACATATAACTGCTAAACATAAGTAATTATTTCAAGATGGATGTTTATTTATTTGTATATATTATTTTTAAATTTCATATTTAAAGATAAATATTTATTTTTATATATATTTTGGTCTGTCTTCAGGACTGAAGGACGGTTAAATATGGATCCAGCATCTCTTCCAGAACAGCTGTCAGTTGTTAATGAACAGGTGCTGAACTCATGGGGCAGATCGGTGACCGCAGCTGTAAGTCTGCGCCGCTTCCTCTGCTACGGCTCTGAGAGCGCCACATACAGCACTAAAGAGTGTCCTCTGGGCATAGAGAACGCCCTGGCTCTGATGCAGTTCATCGAGGGGAGACGGGGCTGTGAGGTGGTGGACGAGATCAGACTCTTGAATGCAGAGGGCCGCGCTGTCTGTCCCAACCCCAGCCTCTTCGCCCTGGCTGTCTG